TATTCCCAATTGTTTGTTTTAAGTGGCAACCCAAGTGATAGTAGTTGGTTCATAGGGATATCTACAACATCATAAAGTTTCCTACACCGAAAGTCTTCGTTTACCTACCCTGTAGGTGCTTTAAAGTTGATGTACCTAAGGGATGTACCTACAATTTCGAGTGTTCAAAAATGGCAAAAATCTGAAAATTGCCCACGCGCGGCCTACCACATATACGCCGTAAGGTGACAAATGCCATATACCATATAGTTTATATTCTCAAGGGACGTCTTTAGACTAACATGTATCGGCCACAAACTCACCGGTGATGATTTCGATGGTTTGAGGCATGAAAATGCCCAAGGGGTGTTAGGTACATCGGATGTACCTAAGGCCGGGTAGCGGACATGTGTGCGTTAGAGCGCGTGGCAAAGAAGAATGAAATAGGGACAAGGTAGAGGAAGGACCATAGTCAATATGGAAGAGGGGATCGTGAATGAGGGAGTGTCTGTCGAACTCATCCCAACCCGCAAGCATAGCGTTGGATAAGAAGAAGCGTTCGGCATCCTCTGCTGGGTGCCAAGGTAGTGGTGGTAGAAGCAAGGGAGGGGTACGTGGAGGTGGATGTAGGAAACGGTATAGGGTGCGTTTTTGAGACACCTGCACACGGACAAGGCGGAAGAAAGATTTTTGAGGAGGTAGGTAGTGTGAGAGCACCTTGATCAGTTGGCCTGCAAACGCGGGACCATTGTCGCAACGAATAGCACTTGGGGCGTCATATTCGTCCCAAGCTTGCATAATCGCGGCGGCCACGACATACAACTGCACGAAATAACGAAGGAAGGCATGCATGTGGGCGTTATGAAGAAGAGTTAAAAAAGGGTAGGAAGGGTATATAGGAAAAGAACTCGGAAAAAATATGCATGCAAAAAGAGGTAGGACTTGCATGCAAATGAAGGATCGCACCTTTTTGGTGTTAACATTGTAGACGCGCTGCCAACCACCAGGGCACGCTTTCGACGGAGTGCAAGATTGAGTCAGTACCCTCGTTGGAGTCGGAGTAGTCCCAGCTCTCCTCTCGGAGATTCTCATCGGCACGAATTGCGGTGATGGTCTTGACGGTCTTTTCTCGCTTGTTGAGCACACAAAGGGGGCACTTGCGAATAGTTTCCATGACGAAGGGGTCGGAAAGGTTGCCGATGTTATTGGCTACTACCCCTTGGTACTCGAGAGAGTACCACAGCCGGCTGTGGTACTATCACAAGTACCAGAGCGCCATAATTTCTTTGGGTGCCCTCCTCCACTCTTGGGATGCTATCCATCATATACCATTGTCTTTGGGACCCAAACCGAGTTGCATTATGCCTCATTGGTCCACATCACACGTGTAGCTCTCCTAATGGATGCGTGATGCCACCACGGTAGTGTTTTTTGTTACAAAGTGGCATCGTGCGTGTGTTCAAACTGATGGCTCTTCTTTCGAATTTTTTCCAGGCGCACTTGGGAACCAAATAAGCCCGCCCATCATTCAAATTGAAGCTATATATCATGGCCAATGATGTGTGTGGTTGTGGGTTGGTTGGCATAATGCCATTCGTCGTAAGTACAGTAGCATGCAAAACATCCAACCCGGTTTGTACTTGCCATAATTTGCGTGTAATATTGACTTTATTCCAGCCTGGGTAGCGGGCTTGAGCCTCGGGAATCCAAGTTGTGAAAATATATATAGCCAAACCGACTGTAGAATATTGAAGTATACACCTGAATTGAATTTTAGAGACCTGTGCATGCATGATAAGCTCACCCAATCAGTCAATATACACATACTGTACCTCTAGGGTGGAGTGGGGAAAAAAAGGCAAGCGAAAATCGGGAAAACACAGTTTTATCACATGCATGTGCCTTAACGACATGCACATGGAGCGTTGTCGCCATTCACATGCCGTAGCACGTAATGGGCACCTAGAATAGGTCCCAATAATGAACTCCACAATCATGTTCGGGGTGCCATGGCCACATGGCATGCCTTAATCAGCCTCGCCGTGTGTGGTACTTGTGACAGTACCAGCGAAATTAATTAATTTTCAGGCATTTCACCCCCCCAAAGCGCGTGACCGTAACATGTACCAAATAAAGCCAGTCGGGGTTATTTTCAATGTTCAAAATAATTCAAACGGGTCCTAATCAATTTTCAACGCCTTAGTTTGACCGATATACCCTCATCTAGTGCACTCTACATGGGATTCTTATTGGTACTTGTGACAGTACCACAGCACGGGGTAGTAGCCATTATGACTGCGAAGTTGAGACCTTCACAACAAATATGACGGAGAGATTATCAGTTGCGTTAGACATGCAAAAACGAACCTATATTGTGAATATTTCGACAATGGAAGTCAAAGCACAAACCGGGAAAGAGCGAACGCACATGACTTTGTCCCGCCCTGCACAAGCTTGTAGAAGGTGGACAACCTCGACGACAAACTCAGAAACGTCGGGAGGACATAACAATATCCAGCCGCGTTGGCTGCATTCCGGGTAAGAGGAGACATTTGTTGGAGGTAGATGTGCAAGGCCGACATGGATTCGCAAGCAGCCTCTCGAGTGATAGTATGGAGGTTGGGATCAGGTTGAAGAATAGAAAAGTCAGACCATTGCAGTCGACCTCCACCATAAATAGTTGCGGGGATTTTGCTGGCGTGCGAGGAGGAGGGGGCGCCATCTTGTAGATGCTGACGGATGACGTTATACTGACTAGTTTTGAGAACTCCTGTCGTTCCTTGAGAGCGAGGCATCTTAAGTGGTAGGTTGCGATGTAGTAGCTATCCACCAAGTAGAGGTAGAGCTGCGTCGTCTGGAAGATCGACGTGGAGGAATGAAGAAGGAGGGCGTGCCCGTAGGAAGTTCGGGATGACTAGATAGGGAGGGTATGCGACAAGAGGCAAAGCGGCTTTTCAGGCAGATAGGGCAAACACAAGAGGAATGAGGAAATATATTGTTAATTGGTTTTTGCCATGCTGGAGGTGTTAGCTTCCTCTTTGGCATCGGAATTCCGTTGAGCGATGCGTGGAGAGCGGCGCAAGCGTTTCTTGGGCTGCAGGTAGAAATCTATAATCTGCTGAGTTGCGTAGATTTGTTCAGCGAGTTGGGCGAGATGCAAACCTGGACGTAACCGGTCTGACTTTTGGCAAGAGCGAAGAAAAGCTTCGTGCTCGTCTCGATTTGCTAGTCTTTTGGGTTGGGGCATAGTGCGTAGTCAACGCGAAGTTTCCAAACTTTGAACGTTGCGTTTTTTTGTGGAAGTGTTACTCACGCGCGTACACATGACTGCAAATACAGGTCAGCTGCTTTTACCCTCGTACCGATAATTGAAAAACATTATGGAAGAGTTTTGAGCCATAAGGTTTGCACTAGTTCAATCGCTTATGACGCCCGCACTGATTTCTAATACGTAGCAAGGCGTTCGATTTGACTCAGTCCGTGGGGACTCGTTAGATCATTTTAATTTTCGATTATACCCACGTCACCGGTCTATCGTCGGGATCTGTCATATATATATCGGACGCACGTAACGCACTCGGGGTATCGAAATGTCGTGCGTTGATTTCGATTTCGCAGAGCCTCACAAACTGAACGTGAAAAAGTCCGGGGAGTGATTGTTGTCACCGCGTCGTGAGTCTCGGTGGCGCTGGCGGTACTGCTCGGTGACACCGTATCCACTATGCCTATGGAGGTGTGGAGTGCTATGCAGAGTACAGATGCCTTGACGCAATTGGTCACGTTTTTCATCCACGGCGTATGCCATTATGTATTATAATTCTGACGATTAGAAATCAAAGAGAAACGTGAGGGTCCACGAAAACGAAGAGGAGTTCGACTGTTCAAGATGGTCCAGTCGATCGAAACAGTCGCCCAATGGAAACTGTTATTTACGAATATTACTCGTAGTGGACACTCATCTACCCTGTAACACACACACACATATATATATATATATATAAGTCACTCCATCACAGGGAAGAAACGCAGTGATCGGGTCGAACGAAAACTGAATACGATAAAATACTTAGGTGTTTTAACTGTGCAGTGACGGTCGGTCGGATGGCGGATGCACGGAGACACAGTGACAGGGCCACTCAGGGCGAAGGGTGAACAAAGGAGAGACTGTGCCCCCCCATACAATGGGGGGAAACTCCCGCAGTGCTCCCGCGAACATTCCTCTTGTGTTTGCGGGAGGTTTTCCTCCTTTGTCCATATTGTGGGGTTTCTCTCAGCGTGGTTGGTTTTTGGTGCACTAGCCTGTCCAGAGGATGTCCTTAAATCTGTGACTTTTTGGGTCCGCTGTCCTGGCGGGTCCGTATTTCTGTCAGCCACTATCCGAGTTCATCTCTGACCTGGGAGACGATAGCATAATCATTCTCCAGTTTTTTATTCTACGGGCGTTGTCATTTTTCAGAAGCATTTTTATGTTGAGTTTACTCAAATCATACGACACGTCTCTGGCAAATTGATCAGGGGTGTGATACCCCCAGGTACGAATATATGATTATGTATACTCGATGTGTAGTCAATGCATCAGACACACCCTGCTGATGCTGTGCATATCTCATTATATGTGTAGTATTGAATTTTAGCTTGTATCTGTCATATTCTTCGTGGTGGACACGATGCAGACTCCGCGCGCCTGAAGCACCGCTTGAGCATGCTCTCACGCCCTATAATATAGGGCCCGAGCCCGCCCCCGGTGAGAGCGGACGTCGCCCGCATCGGATTCCGCATCGTAGTCGAAAATGGTTTGACACGATGCCACCTTGCGGAGACCCGAACGCGCGTGGTAAACATTCTTAATGCGAGAGGAAGCACACATTGCCAAAGATATGATCATTGTGCGCGGTCCGAATATTCTTAGCTTTGAGGGATTTAAGGATATTCCTATTTTTTTGGTCAGTACCCAAAATTCTTAGGCGTTTTTGCAAAATTACATCGACACTTTTCTAGGCATATTGTTTGGCGTGAGTTGTTGCGCCCGACCGGGAATCGAACCCGGGGCCTTCGCGATCTTCGTAGGCTCACGATTATGGGAGGCGAAGATTTTACCACTAAACCACCGGCGCCTCATGTGAATTTTAACTTGTTCACAAGTATATTAGTTGTCACATTTTTTTAAAGGCCTTTATATAAATCTGCAGCTGAGCAGCTGCAGCTGCAGCTGCGTCGCGTCGCGTCGGGTCGCAGTCGCTCGCATGCAAACAAGCTCAAGCATTTCGATTTGAGCAGTCGAGTGCTCTACTGTACCTCTAGGTCTAGTCACACGACAGAAGTTGGAAGGGGGGAATTCACGGGCACGCAACGGGAATGGCTACGGGAATCGCGGATTCCTCACAAGAATGTGAGGAGTCATGTGGATGTCGTGGCATGGCACCGATGTTGGCTGCTCCTTCGCTTGATATATAGACCGCTGTTGATGGACGTTGTTGTGCCTTTGTGTCGAGTGGGGAGCCCGTTGGTGCTCCAGCGATGACCCCGGCCTGTCACGCCAAAGCGACCAACATACAGCGTTTGACATGATGATCGGATGGCGCAGCAAGACAGACAACAACGCGCTGCGATTTCGCTGCGATTTCAAGCGCCTCCTTGAAGGTTCACAAGGAAGCGAAGATCGATTTATCCTTGGGTGCTAACGGGATCGGACCGAGAAGCTAGTTTAGTCTAGAAAGCTGACTGGTGTGTGTTGCTCCCACCTCTCAACATCCCTCGAAACAAGTATGGGCTTCGTGTGTGTGATTTTAGACAGGATCAGAGAACGCGAATACCGACATTCCGAGGCTACTTCGAGAGTGCGAGCAGTACGACCAGGTCCGAGACAAGTGCCGGTGGAATCCCAGCCCGGAGACCTCCGCCAGTGCGGAGTGGCTGAAAAGTGGACCTGAGACGCAGAACGGCACTCTGCTGCAACTATCGAGGTGCCACATACGCATGGAAGTGGAGCCGTTTCGACGGTTCCTACTTCCAAGGCATCTTCGTTTTGTGCATGGCACACATTGGACGCTGTCTGGGCAACCAAGTCTGCTCTTCTCCGCCCGAACACGCAATTTCAGATGCTGAAGCGCTAACCGCCTTTGTCTGACAGTTGCCGTCCTGGAAGCGCTCCTGCGGTGGCGACCGACGTGCCCCGATGGCTTTCACGGGAGGGGTGTGCTCCTATAGGAACTCTCGACGTGGGGGAATGGGATTGTCATGACTATTTGCGTATGGGATACGTTGTAGTCGTGATTCAAGGCGTGAGGATTGCACCTCTGGCACAATTCTTGCCGTTTCTTGCGCGCTGTGTATAAATTTGCCGCTCGTTTTGTATATCTGAGAATTTCCTTTGGCACACACCTCCTGACAATATGTATGAGTATACAAGCGAGTGCTACAAACTGTGGATGGCAATACGTCCCCCAAAGATGAACGCTAAAGTCGAGTAGCTAGATAATGCGAGAGGTCATAAACCTTTTCTAGAACCGTACCTTAGGGACGGTTCAGAATTTCCTGTTTGAACAGAAGAATGAAAAACCGACAAGTGTTGGATATCTTTTGTGTTGTAGGAGCATACGAACAACCATCGAAGGCGCGAAGCTTTACAACTAAGCATTGGATCATATCGCAAGGTGTTATTGATCTAGCCATGATATGCACTGCGCTGTATGCGATAAGAGATTTCGTGAACTAACGAAGAAGACGAAAACGTCAACTTGTTATGATCGAAGAATCGTGGATACGGTGGAAATCGTACAAGCGTGCACAGCGTATTTTCAAATAATGTCGTTGTTGACCGGATCCATGCATGGTGAACATGTTATCGACAACAATTAAATATTTTACAGACTCACAGGAATACGAAGTCGTATCGACATCAAGGTTGGCAATCAGATGATTTCAGATCTGAATTCAGATCTGAAACGTTTGATCTGATCTGAAACGTCTGAAATGTCCGAAACATCTGAAAAATGGTCCCCGATATTCATACGGGCTTGTGCAGGGGGTGTTTTGGGCAAAATTAAGACTCCCCGAAGGCGTTTTGGGCAATGTACGCATTAGCACGTGGCACCAAATGATACCATTAGGCTTTATACATCCATCGATAATTTATTTAGGGTTTTTTTGAGTCAAAATCTCAAAATTTCATAATGAAAACATATATTACATAATAATAAAGATATTATAAAATAAAATGGAAAAAAGGGCCTTCATCGGTTATGGTTTAATATATATTAGGGTTTTATGGTTTGCATGACATTTAGGGTTTAATGGTTTCGCGGCTTAGGGTTTTAGGGTTTGATGCGTTTTGGGTTTTAGGGTTTCACGATGTAGGGTTTTAGGGTTCCCATGTTTAGGGTTCTAGGGTTTTTGTATTTAGGGTTTTAGGGTTTAGGCCTTCCGAATATCCGAAATTAAAAAAAAAAAAAGAGAAATAGTTACGGACCGTATTTATGGTTACATGCGATGTCCTGATTGATAAACCCTAATGATTCTCCCCGTCGTCTGATTTTGTCTGATAGTTAAGACGCGTCGTCTGATTTTGTCTGATAATTAAGGCTCGTCATCTGAAGCATCTGAAACCATCTGAAAAAAACCTGATCGGATCTGAATCTGAAACCTGAATTCCGATCTGAATATCTGATCGTCTGATTCCCGTCTGATTGCCAACCTTGATCGACATCGGAGTGATACCGCGACCTTATCTCAAACTCGACGAGGTGCCTGCATCATCTATCGAGCCACGTTTCCCTCTCGTCTCGTCCTAAATTTTTACAACGGTGCACGGCACGGGGTATGATTTATTCTAAGTTATGTGTAATTCAAAGATCAACAACTGCTTAATAGCTCACCATACACTATCTTATCACCCAAGTACAATCGCCGGTATCGAGGAGCATACGTCACATTTCACCTTACCGGGAGCCCTGGTGCAGGCCTCCGCAAGACCCCTAGAGATCTCTTGTTCTGTTTAGCGGAGTGTGACCTCATGACCGGAACCGGCAGGGCCTATCATCGAGGATCGACGACCCCGCTACTGCTAGTACAAACGATCGTCCGCAATTATCACCCTGGGTTTCGCAACGAGCCGGATCGGATCAAAAATTCAGGGTTTTCGATGCACTGTATATGCGTTGTAAATTCGATACCTCATTTTTTCGAAGCGTGGTAAGTTCATGCGGGTCAGTATGCTTCTTCAGCAGCATACTAATACTTCAACTTGTTTCCAATGATGTCTTACGGCGTCCTGCGACAGGATTCCGTGAACATCCTTGAAAACGAGCGTCATGCCGTTACCTCACACCTTGGGGCGCTCAATCGAGCATCCGCTATACCCCGCATACTGTAGGGGTATATCGGGTGTGCGCAACGGATACGCAAGAGTCTCGGCATCGGTATTCTGTTCCCCTTTTAACTTAACTTAACGCCAATCAAAATATAGAAGCAAAAATCGGTTGGAAATCGGGTTTACTGGTTTTACTTGTAAATTTGGAACTTTGCGCAAAGTGTCAAACCCGCGGGCATCTCAACATGTAGAGATGTCCTCACTTGATCCCGAGATTGTCGGTACCCCCGGGTTACCGACAGCAGTCTTGGGAATGACATATGAACCCTGTGCGTGCTCAATATCGCGCAGATACTTCATATGCACAAGGTCAAACATGGACTGCAACCCTTTTTAGCTTGCGGCGCGGAAAAACAAGTTTTTGTTTCAACAGCGAAACCGTTTCGATCTGCCGCTCAGATTCGCTGAAATCGCGATTCTATTATTTTCGGCGATTCTGAGCCGTCGTCTCGATTTCGGCCCATTGCGAAGCTTAAGTATGTAGGTCGGGTGATAATTTCAGACGATCGTTTGTACACCGTGTACGACCGACCGATCCGGGTTATCAGCTTACCGCGGGTGCTATTTCCTATTCAAGACACATTTCCAGTTTTCCACTGTGTTTGCCAGCCGGTTTCTGATGCTACATATCTTTGGGTATATAAGAAAAGGTGTTTTCGCACTCGGTAGCCGGTTGTGAGTTCGACATGATCATTTGCTACCGTTTTGTCACAGCGTGCATTGCAGAATCTATGAGCAGATCTCTGGACATTCGGTCAAAATTCCCACACGATAGGGTACGATATGCAACCGACCGCTTGTTTATAATCATACAACATGCCGAGATGACGTCAGGCTAACGTTCCCGGCCATGACTTAGCATATGATGGATTACACGAAATCCTCACAATAAACCCACTATAGAGTATGCTGCATAAAGGGATACCCAAAATTTGGGGCTCTTTTTAAAAAGATGTATACCGCCGGTCTAATAGGAGATCCTATCATAACCAAAGAGGGAATACACCCACCATACCGCATTTCGTCAACAGTGACAACAATAAACGAATTCTTACGTTTCCCCAAAGATAAACGAGTCTTGATTGTAAATATTGAGTTCACACTCGATGATCAAATAAATGAATTCGGTTAGTGAAAAGCTGAAAATCCCATAAAATATTTTATGTCCGCATTCCTTTCAATCTAGGAATTCATTTCAGTGCTATTTATCGAAGGTTTGCCCAACCTTGAGCCTCACCAAGGCACTGCCTATGGGAGTAGAGCAAGTCTCCATCTTGTCTACAACCTTGATGCTCATGAACATCATGCACAGTAAAATTCAGCACATAAGCTTACAACACGCAATGCTAAGTAGAGAGCGTTGTCCACAGTGATGAGCAAATGCAGAACATACGACTTCTCACTTTTTCTCAAGCTCCTTAAGCAAAGGCGTGATATATGCCTCCGTCACCTGTAGGTAGCGATATATGCCTCACTTGCTAGCTCACAGTTCTCAGTACACATTCATTGTCTTGTGAGCATATTGATAAGCAAAGCGTGTTTGAGCCCCCCATATGAACCATCAGTGTATATGCTGCCTACACGCCATGCTCGCGGGGAGAGCAAATGGCAGCTTCCATTTGCCTCTCGATAAAGCACACTCCAAGCACGGGTCTCATTTTTGGCAGGCGCTGGATCACAAGGAAGGGGGATTCAGGGCACAGGTGAATGTGTCGAAAAAGGGTGTGTGGTCTTTACGATACACCT